GTTTGTTTGTTTGTTTACAAAGTTCCTATATCTTCTCCGATGACATGTTACTATTAAAGAAGAGTGTGTTGTCAGTGCATATCCCTCAATTTTCTTTCAATTCGAGATGTATCTGTAGCAATTTTTGTTCTGACTATTATTTTGCTAGTGGTGCTGCTAATTAAGTAAATTTAGTGTGATGGCACTTTATTCTTGATGCAACATTTGTATTTTTCATTAAAAAATAAGACTATATGTCATAATAGAGGACCCTGGTGTATCTATGAACAGTGCCCATGCCTGCAGTGCGCCATGTTAAAGGTGCCCTAAGCGATATCAGGGCATTAAAATAGGAAATATTTAGAACAAGACAATCTATATGGTATTGACACATACCGCCAAGTATCACCACATTTGCATCATTATTGCATACGTTTGGCGTTTGAAACAGCACAGAAACTAGCCCAGAGACAAGTTGCTTGATTTATCGGGGCCTCCATTTAATCGGCCCAAAAATCCACCAAGTAACCGTTTCCCGTCGGCAATTTTCGGGAACTTCCGCGAAAAATGGAACGCGCTGCCTTGGTTCCATGGATCGAACGCAAGAGTTCGAAACCGATTGACTTCAAATTTGACGATTTTTGAATGGTCAGAACCTTGTATTCAATTCCTCTTTTTGTATATACTTGAATGTTATCATATCACTTATTATATTGCATGTGGTAGCCACATTCATACAGTTTCTCATACCAAGAAACGAATTTTATGATATTACGCGAAATGTATCAATATGTGGCGGAAACTCCGGATGACCGACGGTTCGACTGATTCAGCGCGTTCGTGGTTAACCACGTGACTCGTCCTCGGCTCTGGTCGGAAGAAGTCGGAAGTGTTCGCGAGCGCTCGGAAATTAAAAAAATGGCCGACACCACTGACGGCGGCGGGAGGCACGTAGTTTTTCACGGCGTTCGTACGGCAAAGCGGCATCGAATTTTTGCTCCATGACTATCGGTATGGGATAGGGTAGGGTTGATTCAACATACTGCGTGAAAATGTGACAAAAAGACAGACTTTTGAAATTGAATGCTCCCAGCCTACTATCGGCCAGATATCGCTTAGGGCACCTTTAACATAGCCTCCACCAGGCCGGCCTAAGGAGTTATGGATAGAAATCGACAAAAAGACGGTCTGGTCAGTAATTGCCAGGGGAGTAATTGGCGGTAGGGGTAAAAGTTCCCTTGTTGTGGACAAATTATTCCCCTATTTGGCTAAATTTTATTTTTCAGCTAGCTTTGTCACTCTGGTAGAGAATTATTTCAACTGGCTGGCGAATACTATGGCCGCTAAACCCTGTAATTCTTTTTTATTTCATATCCAAGTGTTGATTTAAAGAATCCTGACTGTAACAGGCAAACAGATGAAGAAGATAGTTACTCTTATTACCTATTATATTTCTTAAGTACGTGACTTAAGTTGGGTAGCTTTGGTCATAACATGCAACGGGGTATACAAAATGTCTTCAGTCAATCACGGAACAAAGAGCTAAATTGTATCATTGAGCTACAATGTCCCCTTACTAGTACCGATGGTGGGGAAATAAGCGTTAGTGTTACAGTTGTAGTAACGGACAGTGGCATCTCGCAGTTATCTGTTGTAGAAATAGCTGGACACAAGACACACGAGAACGGTGTTTTTAAGGAGCGAAGTGTCCCGGCTGTACAATGTACCTGCACTGTGTATCTAGTCTCCACCAGACTCCTTTTGTAGGCTGACTAAATAGTAGAAATGGCCGGCCACATGCTCCGTGCAGGCAAAATGCACCTTCTCTGGCCAATCATATCCCCTTTTTAGACCGATTTCTACTATTTATTCAGCCTTCAAAAGGGGTCTGGTGGAGACTACTGTGCATCTATCGTTTGGTTTGTGTCAAGTCAAGTCTGTGTGTGTTTTGTTGTCCTTTTGCATGACTTATCTTAGTGATCAAATTATATTGGAACTGTCGGAGGCGCTTTTGTCGATTTTATGGAAAGAAAAGGAGAAGCATTCACAGAGTAAAGTAAGAGTGAAAAAAATCAAACATACGTCAAAAGAGGCAATGATGCATGGAACATGGTCTAGTGCACAATATGGGTTTTACGTGTCGAAGTTTAGGTCACTGTATAGACAATATCTACGTAGATAGCAAATGACATTTTTTTTAAAGTTTAACGACTTAGTAATGAT